CCCTCTACTCTGCTCTGGTGAGACCCCACCTGGAGTACTGCGTCCAGCTCTGGAGCCCTCAGCACAAGAAGGACATGGAACTGTTGGAGCGGGTCCAGAGAGGGCCACAAAGATGATCCAAGGGCTGGAGCACCTCTCCTGTGAGGAAAGGCTGAGAGAGTTGGGCTTGTTCAGCCTGGAGAAGAGAAGGCTTCAGGGAGACATTAGAGGAGCCTTTCGGTACCTGAAGGGAGCCTATAGGAAAGATGGGGAAAATATTTTCAGCAGGGCTTGTTGCGGTAGGACGAGGAGCAATGGCTTTAAACTAAGAGAGGGCAGATTTAGACTGGATATAAGGAAGAAATTTTTTTATGATAAGGGTGGTGAAACACTGGAAAAGATTGCCTAGAGAGGTAGTGGAAGCCCCATCCCTGGAAACATTCAAGCCCAGGCTGGATGGTGCTCTGAGCAACCTGGTCTAGTTGAAGTCCCTGCTCACTGCAGGTGGGTCGGGCTACATGACCTCTTATAGATCCCTTACAACCCAAAGCATTCTATAATTCTACGGGGGGAAGTTGCCTCTGTATGAAACTCCATTCAATATTTTCACCAACGATCTGGTAGAAGACAAGACCAGTACTGCTGAAGATAGTGGACTGGTAAATAATAGAGCAGACAAGGCAGAGAGAGAGCAATCTGGGCCTGTCAGTGAGCATGCGCAGCCAATTCAAATTGGAGATGCAGTCATTCAACAAAACGCAAATTCAGACACCTTCACCCACATCAGGTCACATCGGGTGTGGACAAGGATTTAGAAGTCAAAATATACAGGCACTTAACGCTCATTTCTAGTGTCACACTATGACCAAAAGTGATTGCTCTTTTGATCTACAAACTGGACTTAAGAGGATTTCCCTCTCCTGTGGCGGTAGTGTTTATTCTGTGGTTTACAGATTCTTTTGGGGACTTGAGAAAGCAAATGAAGAAGGGTAAAGCTGTACACTACTTCAAAGAGATTTCTAAAAGTCATTTAAGAAAAGCCAGCTCTTAGGAGTTGGCTTAAATTTGCTTTGCACATGTCTGCACCTTCACAAAAAAATTTTTAAGGCTTTGCAGATAAAGATGGTATGGAAAATTCCTAGTATATGGCATTGGCCTGCTCAATAGTGAGACTCCACACATGGGCTGGGGTATCTGGATTTTACAAAGCAATACAGAAAGGATGCAGAAAGCCACAGAAACTACTCCAAGAGACAAAGTATCTCACACCAAGAATCTTAAAGGGCTCAGTTGGCTTCATTTCTTAAAAATAATGTGAGAGGCAAGGCAATTACAACACACAAATCCCCTCACAGGGAGGGACTACCAGTTGTTAGAGGCCTCTTTAATCTAGCACAGAACAACCTAACAAACCAGTTGTTGGAACCTAAAGGCAAATGGAAAGCAAGGCACCTTTCCCTCCCACACGCTCCTTCCTAGTTTGTTTTAATTAAAAAGTGCAGAAGTAGTGCATCTTCCTATCTTCAGATCAAGTCTGGCTGCTCTTTCTCACTGTTAAGCCTAAGTCAAATACGTATTATTAAAACATACAATCCAGGACACTCTGTGAGAAACTAATGCCTAGAACATACAGGAAGTCAAAGTGGATGTATTTGTCTTTAAACTACAGATATGAAAATCCGAGCTTCAGCAGGTCAGTAAGTTCACAATATGGTTGAGGGAACAGATGAGAATGCGACAGAAACATGCAGATTTAAGAGTTTCAGCTGCCCTCAGTATTAATGGCAAATGAGTTCTTAAAAAACCAAACTTATAAATTACAGTTAGGATGCTTTTTCTGCTTGTCTTCAAGATTTCAACTTCTTTTTTTCAAAATCCAGAGATTTCAGTTGTAACAAAAGCTGAAACTGTCTCTGACTACTTGCATTTACAAGCTGTCCTCATTACAGATTTTTTTAATTCATTTCTTACGCAATCACAGAAAATGTACATACAGTGTTCAGTGTAAAGATGAAACTGAAGGCCACAGAAACCACACGATGGAAAAGACTCTGGAAAACACACAAAGTTTAGCTGAGCAGTCCAGCTGCTGAGAGAAACTAATAGGAGCTACAGCTCACAGGAGAGTTTGGGGTTGAGATGTATATTCCACAAGGATTTTGTCAATAAATGGGACAAGAGGTGGCTGAACACCACATCAGTCTTCACAAACAAGCAACCACCAGGATGATCCCAGCCTGCTCTCGGCTTCTCCCTTTCAATCATCATAAGGTTTTCTGATTGCAGAGAGCAAGGTAGCTGCTACAGAAAACTTTATCTGAAGTATTCCCCACGCAAAAAATAACCCTTAAAACAGACCTTTAACCGGAGAGATGCAGACTTTAACCCACCTGACAGATGGAGGGACTATTGTTCCATTACTAACTTAAAGACTCTTCTGCAGCTTCAGCACGGCCAAATCTCTTTCCACTGCTTATCGTTGATTCAGTTGTCTGCCTGTCTCTCTCTGGTATGCAAGCATTCTGTGGAAAGCTTTCTCCTACAACTCTGATCCAAGAACGAGTAGTCATTCTGACAATCAAAAGTCTTTTTCTAGCAGCAGGCTATCTTCTGTCTTTCCAGAACAGGTAGAATACTTCACCAATACTGCATATTACTGTTAAATCAGCAGCTACACTGATGATTTTACCTGTGAAACCACAGATTAGACTTTATACATTTTTCTTAAGGCATTTATTTAGCAACCACCAACAAAAATTCAATGGAAAAAATAATATACCCTCCGCATTGCTTCTCTTTATTCATGGTTCAGACAGGGATCATTAGTTTCAAGAAAAATTCAGTGGAAATAAGGTAAAGCCTCCAGTAAATGTTTTTGATTTAAAAACACCCCAACCCCCACTCCCTTTAACCAGAAGTCACATCTTAAAACATGATGAGTGTGTTTGAAAGTTCACGGTGCAAAATAGAGGGGGATGGCAACACCTCCTCAAATTGGTCAAAAAAACAGCTATCCTACTCTATACATGAACACTGTCATCTCCCTTCCCCTCTTCCTCTCCCCTTCCATCCACCCTGCAACAAAATCAATATATAAAGAACATCAGCAGCAGCTTTATGATAGGCAATGATCCTTTTTGACATCGGTCTGTGATAAGATCGTTGATTCTCTATCTTTAAATTACATCATAGCTGTGTAAAATACGCAGTGATATCCAAAACGTGAACTCTTCACATCCGCTGTCGATACCTCAGCAAGATCCAGACCGCTGCCGCAGCAAGCGCCAGGCCTGGCACAAGAATGACTGCTAGAGGAAGCCCACCTGCTTCTTCATCGCCTTGATGACCCACAGGGCCATTTTGTGGTTGCACCTACAAGGAAAAGAAAGTATTTGTGTCAGAGCCCATCACAAAAGAGCTCCCAGCTCTGCGTCAAGACCAGGCAGTTCTGTAAGGACGTGCAAGCTGGTTTCCCCAGGTACCTGTACACTCCACCACACATGGGAGGGTTAGAATGGCTTTGGACAGACTGAGCTTTCCTGCAGGCGACCCAGTCTTTTTTCCTGCAGGCTACCCTTTTTTTCTTACCTGCCCTGTACACTGGTCCAGAAGATTTACTCCTTTTATTAAGGCAGTGAAAAAGGGGCCTCAACCCACCTCTCCCCATCAGCATGCTTCAGGCTGATCAGTATTTACTTCGACATCTTCAATGCTAGCCAGGGATGTTCAAATTACAACACTGGATTAAAGATTCCTCTCTTCCTATATCCAAAACAGTGCCAGTATATTTAAAACATAGCAGCCCACGTTTGTTCCTTTGAGGTGGGCTGCACACACATCTCAACACTAACATGACCGATGACCTCAAACAACAGGGGAGTTTTGTCTCCTGTAAGATTTTGGCTTCTGAAACAAAAATGGAGAACTTGAGATTCTGTCTTCACAGACAAACCTCTGCCTCCAAGAAAGAAGATCAGCAAGAAGACACACCATACTCCAGCAAAACAATAACCTGGGGGCTTCTCCCAACTCACCTCTTCACTGACACTGTTACAAACAAGTAATGCACGAATTATTTCAGCTGTGGTCAACTAGACAAGGCCACAGTTCAAACAAAATCTTTATATGCATAATTCACACTGAGCACCCGGACATAGTATTTTTCTGCTTCATGAAACAGAGAGTTATCAATCATAGAAACTAGTCCACAATGACCCAGAAATAACCCTAAGAAACAGGTAAAACATACCCTGCGCTGAATTTTCAGAGACACATCATAGCCTGCATTCCTGAACAGCTCCACAGCATCCTTGTGCCGCAAATCCTTCAAGTCTTTGCCATTGACCTAGCAGAAAAGGAGAACCAGTTGCTTAAGGGCAAAAAGCAAATTCTTAATGACGCAGGCTAACATAGGAAGGACAGGAGATAAAAACATCTTCCTCTTTCACAAAATCCTGCAGTTGGGGCATGATAATATAATCAGCAAGATCCATATTCATCCATTTGTATTATAAATGTATTTTTGTATGTTGAGAGACAACATGAGAAACTCCAAGCCAAAACACAGAGGTACTGAAAAAAAACTACCTAGAAGCAAAATCAGTATGTAAGAACACAGTAGTGTCAACAGCAGCTTCTTATGCTGTTGCTTTACTGGAAACAAATCAAAGGTGTAGTTCTGACAGCTAATGAAAATAAAAGAGCAGCTATAGAAAAATTTTTATGATGAGCCTCAACAAAACAGAAAAAGACTTACATACCTACTGGCATCCACTTAAAAGCATTAGGATTTTTCTTGATTTAAAATAATATCTCATGGCAGAAGGTTTTATAACCTACTTGATTTAATTTACTAACTGAAGATATTCATCCTAATTTTTCTTTTTCATCCCCATTACTCCTAATTGTATCCCCTGAGATCACAACCAGTGCCTCCCTTCTCTTGATATTCCGACTCCCCAAACGCAAGTACATAAATATCAAACTGTCAAGAAAAGATAAGATAATATTCTCCGTTTAACTTAATATCATTTTCTGGATCAATAATAGGCTCCAGCTAGTGCAAGGCACTCCATAGAGGCTAAAAAGATTACATGTGGAACATAATAAGCAAGTGTAAAATAAAATTAAGGAGTATTAAAAGATCACATATCACACTAGGAGAGGCTACTTCTTCACTCCTCACTTTGTAAAGCATATTGTCTCGTATGATTGCCAACCACCTAAAGAACCAGAGGGACTGCACCTCAGTCACTTTAAAACATTTTTCTAGAAGAGGAAGCAGCCTGTATTACTCATGATGAGCTGCAATGAATAGTTTTATGGCCTATAAGTTTTATAGCCTAAAAATCCCCTTGAGCACGAGGATCAGTAATCACTGACTGCCAGTCAAAAAAATTGAAACTTTCGAGGTTGGAGACCGATTCTTTTATTTACACATGTGTAAATGACGATCCATTGTGGGCAAGAGAAGGTCTGACAGATTCTAAAACCTTAGGGAGCAAGTCACAGAGGAAATACAGTTGAAGGAGTGCTTCTGAGACAAGTCAAGAAGGCAGAAAAGATGGGCCTATATGCAGAGGCACACATCTCCCTGGTGCTCAAAGGTGTCTGCAGACCCCCAAGATAGCTCCTTCCATGGAGTTTCCTCAGCATCATCTAATTAGATTCATCACATCCTTCCTTCCCTGTGCCCTGCAATGGCAAGCCTGCATCTCATATCACATCACTGATCACAGCACTTCAGGGACACATGGGGCGACAGAAGAAAGGGCTTACCGCTAAAATTTTATCTCCTTCTTGTAATCGGCCATCAAGGTAAGCTGCCCCATCCTTTTTGATCCGGCTGACATAGATGCTGCTGTCATTGGAAATGTACTGCTGATCTGTCCCACCAACAATGTTGAAGCCCAGCCCTAAGGTAAGCCAAAGAGAAAGCTGATGAGTAAAGGCTCAAAGCTTCGGACCTCACTGCTGTTGTTGGGGAATGTACCCTCCCACGTTGTCCTGTTTTCTCCACAACACTGAAACTCAGAGCGCACACATCTGCATTGTCCTTTCCAACCACCACTGCCTGGAAAAGTGATTCTCATAAAACTCGTCTTGACAGCAGAGGAGATACCCTGAACGCCTGAGGGCCCAGATGCTTTTTTCCATAAAGCATCCATGAGCCATTTTCAGGTGGGTGTTGGGGAATACTGAGGGACATGCCATTTCTTCAGCAAAGCATGAAAGGAAAGAGTTCTGCATTTCACAGGAGGTTATAGTAAATCATTACCCTTGAGCAACAAGAAATAATGCCTGACAAGTGTTTCATGAGCTGGAAAACAGAGTTCGGAAAGGCAAGGAGCATTACACCCTGTCTACAGATGAGGAAACAGGCAAGAGGAGCTATGCTACCAGCTCAAGGGCACCTAGAGCTCGGAATGCTCCTTTTCCACATCTCAGGAGCTGGAACTGGCATCCGTTGCCTCCAAGAATAAGATTAGCTTAGATGCAGCTCCTTCAAATTGTATGTAATCACTTTGTTCTGTTTCAGGAATTCATAACATGACAGGAAATAAAGACTCAGATTTAAATCTCAGATTTAAAGCAAAACAAAAAGGAATACAAATACATTAAATGGAACTGATGTTCACATTTTTGTTATGTTTCATATTGTTCTCTAAAGTAAGCCTCGATTACAGATCTCTAGCTGGAACCAGCTGCTGGATTAAAGCATAGTTAAAGATTAAGACTTCTTGTTTCATTGAAATCCAGAAGAACAAATTTAATTCAAAATCTGGAAAACCACAGGTTACGAGAGCACACTTCCCATCGCACACGCAGCTAAGTTTCTCTATGAATAATAATATGTGGCAAGGGATGGGAAAGATTCCCCAAGAAAAGGCTTGCAATGAAAAAAAGAAAGAAAAGTCAAGGAAAAGAAAAAAAAAACCCCAAATATACAATCCAAGTAAATGAAGGGGGGTGGAGGAGGGGACAACAGACCACAACCCTTTTTTTTCCTGACATAAACCAGTCATCCAAAACCTATTGTCAAGAACAGCTGAAAGCAAATTCTCCTCATGTTCAGCCAGGCTGATTTATTTATTTTCTCTTCCTTTCTTACTTTCTCTCAAAGTTGAGACTAGAAACTTTGAGAAGAAGAGTCACAAATGAAAGTAAAACTACCCTGTACCCGCTGGGAAGCAGCATTTTAGATCAGTCCTAGAAGATCAAAGGATGTACAAGATGAGTCATGCTATTTTAAGTGTGCATCTGCAGCTGGGAAGTAAAGAAATATTAACAGCAATGTTGCCACACCTTTTTTCTTTCCTCCCCTTCCTGGCAGCTTCAGACAAATGAGGAAGAAAATGGAAGCAGCAGCAGACTGAAGAAACTCTGACATTTCAGCTAGACTAATATCTATTCCAAGAAGGGACAGTTGTGCACAATAACAAACCCTTCAGTGGTAATGAAAAAAAAAAAAATCCACAAACCTAAAAATTATTTGCTGTGAAGCCAATAACCTGGGAGCCGAGGGAATCAATGCTACAGAAAGTATAAGGTTTAATCAACATTTATTAAAAAGCCAGAAAGAAGGAATCAGAGTTTCAGAGTACATAGATTCTCTCTCATATCTATAAAAAACCCCAAATATGTATGCAAAAAAGTATACATTTTGCCAGTGTTCACCCACAATTGGAAAAATAATCAAGAGTCATAGCTTTCAGCGGCAGAGGCAACATGAGACAGGAGCAGATCTTCATGACAAAAAGAGGCAGCAGTTAATGCTAGACCAAGTTAAGTATTCACAGGGCTTTTTCACTGTGTCTTTGCTTTCCAGCACTTCAGCTTCCACTCTGGCTAAAAATATCTTCCCTATCATTCCTTGAGCTCTCTGCTGTTCTCCCCCTTCCAGCTCATGTAGCCATAAAAAGGGACACAGCACAGCCAGGAGAAAAGGAGCAAGGGGAAGAAGCAAGCACATGGCACCAAATCCCTCGCCTGCAAGGGACCAGCAGTGGAATGGCAGAGCTTTAAAAGCAGGCCCTGGGCTAAACTTCTGGCCCTCCCTGAGGCTGCAGACATCCCTATGCCTCATTCACACACGCCCCCCCGGAAACATAGAAAGCCCCTCAAAAAGACATTAAAAAAAAATCATGATTGGCAGGATTATGAAAAGAGAGATTGAATACTGTTACAAATTGAACCGATTAAGTTACTCAGTTTTCCATAAAACCAGATTTTTCTGCCTAATTTCAGCCTAGTACTTCAGAAGGAAATTTGAAAAATGAGAGACACGCACACACTGTTTTGCCACTGTAAATACGTTCACCTCAGCAAACTTTTGACAGAGATGTTTAGCATCAGACCTGTTTTAAAAAGTTGTGGTCAAAACTCCGATTAGAGAGATTACGGGATTACACTGTACTTTACAGATAACAGCGTTTTGTTCCTTCCACAGAAATTAATATTAATTCACATGGTAAATGCATCAAGGTCATAAGGGGCTGTAGGACCTCCAAATCATGTGGCATCGTTAGAAACCCAGCTCTAAAAACGCACAGCCCACCTTAATGACAGAATGAATGCTGCTCGTGGTAATCAGATTTACATTGCCCTGGCCGCGCTCAAGACCTCTCAACTCTGCCCTTCAATTATCCCCTTTCCACCTCCCTCAAAATTTTAGGTTCCCAAATGTACGGATGCAGCTCTCCCATCAGAACCAGCTCCATTTAGCAAACTAGTTTTCACCGACAAGCGTGGCTTCGTTAGCTTGGGCTCGCGGCAGGGCGACGCAGCTCTCCGACCAGTGGCCTCTCCAGCGAGCCGGGGAGGCGGG